GAGGTCCCTTCCAAGTCCTAACATTCTTGAATCTGTGAATAGTCCTTCCTAAAGAAATGAACAATTAGAAATTCAGGCTAACTAACATTCTAGTATGAGACAAACAGATTTTTATTCTGTCTCTCTTTTTTTGAGTATTAATTCAAATATGATAATTTTCTACAATTATTTTTTTTAATAATATGGATTCTCCAGCAAAACTATGCTAAGAGTACTTAATTGTTAAATGTTACTGGAAAAAAATGGGCATTTGACTCATGTGGAGTATTATATCCCTTATTTTATTGTTTGCTTGTCTGTCTTTTTTCTGTGTTTTCCTGTGTGTGTAACTTTATGCAGTCACTCCAGCACCATTTCCTTCAAGGATTTTATGTTGTTACTAGGAATTCCACTGTGTGAAATTCTTACAATTTAATTAAAATATAAATTAACATTTTTAACAGGAAAGAGCTACAAATCAGTCATTCTACAAGTTGATAGCCAATGCATAATTTTAATCCTCCCTTTCACATACAGGGTAAAATGACTGTCAATTTTGAACTAAAGTAAATTGCTTCAAGCATATATCATTAAGACAGTGATTACATGCATCTTGAGTTCTATAACCAAGGCTGATTTGTATCCTTATAATACTATTATGGTTAAAAATGCAATTGCAAAAGTTGTGTGGTCTTCTAACTGTACGATTCAGATCATAGCATGTTTACTAAAGCATATCAGCTTCATTTGTGTAGCTGAAAAACTTTTAAAAGTATGGTAAGATCAGAAGTATTCTTCTATGGTTTACATATCAAAGTTGTCAAACAATTTCCTAGTCTTGGATCTTAATAATATTAACAATGATTATGAGCAAGCAAAATCTCTGTTATTTGATGTGCTTGCTCCTATGCTTTGTGTAGGGAGAAAAAATAAATTGATAAAAGATTCTTCTGGCAATACACATATTGATCAGAATTAATCAGTAAATGGCATGTGTTACTCTTAATCATTGTTTCCCCCTCATTGTTACATATTATAGTAAGCAATGCAATAGCCATAATATTGGAAATGGTGGTGGGATGGTGGAGATAAGGTAAAAGCTTATTTAAAATGGGACTAAACATGGGATGGGTTTATCCACTTCCCCAATTTTTTCCTCTTCCAAGACTACTTGTCAATCCAGAGTTCCTCTTGGAGAAAATGAAAACATAATGTGACAATTTGAAGATTAAAACCCCTGATCAAATCTAAAAGCCATATGTGTTATCACAAGAAATGATACACAGTTTGATACAGGGACAAGTTTTTATTTCTATAGTCTTTTAGGGTTTAACTTTTGAAGAAAATGTATCTGTTTGTTTGTTTTTTTTTCCCCAGGGAACAAGGATGGAAGGATATGCAGATCCTTCTACAGCCACTCAGGATGCAATGGTAAATATAGTCACATGTGAGCTTCCAAAATATATAAAAAAAAGAAACAAATACAAATGTTTAAAATTTATTTAGGACTTATTTAAAATCTTCTGCATTTTTTCCTTTTTTTTTTTTTTTTTTTTGGTATATTAGATGCTATGGGAAGCATGTCAGCAGAAAACAGGCGAACACAAAACCATGCTGCAAATGATTCTCTGCAACAGGAGCTACCAGCAGCTGTGGATGGGTAACGCAGGGGTGCAGCTGTCTGAACACAGAGCAAAGAGGAAAAACCCGGCTTGCTAATAAAATCATGGTTTACATACCAAAAAGCTCAGCGTGCAGTAGGGTGTTAGCCTGAGACCCAAGTGTGAATGGTTGGAGCTCTCAGACTCCTACAGTTGTTAATGGGATTTTGGAAGTGATGCAAGACTGAACGTTGCCTGATGACTACAGACAGCTGTAGATAGACCAGCCAGACATCAGGATGCCTAATAACAGAGAAAAGAAGGCATGACCAAAGCAAAGCACAAGCTACAGCTGCGCTGAGTTCACACGTGCCACAACAGGATAAGGCACATTTTCCTAAAGTATTTTTTTTTTTCATTTTTCCTAAGTAACTCTTTGCTATGAGTGGGAACACTTTGGGAGAGGCATTTGGAGTATTTTCAACAAATGTTCTTGTTGACACATTGCTGTGTCGAAGTTTTTTCCAAGAAGTTTCAAAGAAGTTTTTCATGGGGGCACTTGAGGGTCCACATCCACACTCTCATTAACAAATATGCACACAAAAATGTAATGGGACCTTTTTGTTTAAAATAGATAATCAGACATAATTACAGATTGCAAGTTATTTATGTGCCATCATCCAGATCTTCCACTGTAGAGAAGAAACCTGTTGTATCTGTTGGTGACAAGTTTGATTAGTCTTTTGCTCTGTGGAGGAAAGCCAGTCTGTTTGGTGACACGTTTATGACTGTGCAGCCAAACTGTATTTCTTATGCCAGTTTCTAACAGTAGTTTAGAACGATTGTGCTGTCAGGGTTCAGCAAATTAATTCTTCTGTCATGACTTCTATAAGGTTGGTGATGATATAAACAATATAATACATCTACTAGTGCACTACTTTCTCTTTTAAACAGAGATTTGAGGGCTCTACCTGCAATATAGTCCTCTGTAAGTTTTGTAGGAAGCAGTGAGTTGAGAATTTTCCTTCTTCCCTGCAGGAGTAAGCACACCCTGTGAATCAGTGCATACAAGTTTGGAAACCTGCACTGCTCAGAGACTAGCCGTGTCTGGTCTTCTGCTAACCACACGCCCAGCTAGGAAGGATATTATCACTAATGAGCAAAGCAGCAACCAAAGTCCTCCCTCCACTCTTAAATCATACACCAGAGGTCCAAGGTGGCCCATCACTGGAGGAAAGAACGAGTTAATGCACTCATTCACAGCATAGTGTGCAAAGAAGGGGGCGAGCTGACTCCAGAACCATACCGCTGTACGTTAAACCAGCCAGACAAGAGGTCCAATAACACAGTAGTTCCCCAGAGAGAGACTTATCATCTGTGCCCCACCATCCTGGGAGCTCCACTGGCTGTGAAAAGCCATGGAACCCTTCCAATAGCCACAAAGCACATACCCTGAGTAAACAAACCTCCCAACCCCACTCCAAGCAGTCAGTTCTTACAGAGTTGGTTTCCTGCTCCACCTCCAAGTTCATGTGGAAGGTGGGGGCACCGGGTGGTGATCTCCTAATCGGTTCCCACCCAAGGCTGGACAGAATCTGGGTGAAAACCAGTCAGGAGGGGCTTTTTTTGCCTGGTTGTGGACATCATCCATATGCCAACCCTCATTCAGGGCTGGGGGCTTAACCCCAGCACTTCATCTGGATACTATCATGTTATCCATTTCATGCCATGACTCCTTGTCACCAGCTGTGAATTCTGGCCAGTTTTAGTCAAGCTAAACAAGGAAGCTGTCTTAATGACTTGACCTCACTACAGGTTTTGTAAACAGAAGTTGCTAGATAGAGAATTTATTAAAGCTTCCAGTGAAGCAGGAACATTGGCATACGTTCATTGTATACTGTATGCTAGAGGACCCAGAGAGAGAATGTCCCAGAATCCAGCTTTTAGGCTACTCATTTAGATTTCCTTACCTGAGGGAACGTAAATTTAATGAAACACAGAATAAACAGGGGAAAAAAATAAACTCAGTGGTTATAGTACTGGGCGAAGCGGGGGTAAAAAAGGCATATTGATCATTATTAATGAACTATAATAAAGCAAGATTTATTATTTTTCTCCAAAGTTTTCCAGGAGTTCCAAAATCTCTCTGGGCAAGACATAGTAGATGCCATTAATGAATGTTACGATGGATACTTTCAAGAATTACTGGTTGCAATAGGTAATGTAAAAATATTATTTTATACAAAGACTAATCTCTTAACAAGTATCTAGTATGGAATCTCTTTTGCATCAAGAATACTATTTTTCTGATACTTTTATCCATTTTACTCTCCTATATTGTGTAACTGAATTTTCAGAGCTAATTAGAAGAGTATTTGAACTCCTTTTCCATGTTCTTGTAAAACTAAAAATGTATATATGCAGCACTAGGTTCTGACTGAGCAGAACTAGTATTGGTTCAGTATTTGATAATAAATTTTGTGCGATTAATGGTAACTTCATTACCAACCAATTCTACACATATTAAATAATTGGCAAATTATTCAGCAGTATATAAATAAGTTCCAAGCTTTATGTGTCTTTGTTTTCCATTTATAGAATAAGGATAATAATATTTCTACAAAGATGTCATGTGAGCACATTCAGTGATATTTAACAAGCTCTTTGATACAACAGCAATGAGCACTCACCCAAAATAAGTACCAGACTTTTAAGATTATAAATATAGTTGTTTGTGAAAACTGGTAGCTTAATATTAAGCTGAATCATGGAGAGAACTCCCTAGCTTTATATTTCAAGGAGCCTAAAGCAAATAAAAATTATTTTATGATGATCTTTTGTTTACCTGTTTATAACTGTTTACAATGTTTACGTGTTGCAACTCTTCTCTCCTAGTTCTTTGTGCTCGTGACAAGCCTTCCTACTTTGCTTACAGGCTTTATAATGCAATTCATGTAAGTAGTATTTCACCTTCACATACCATAAAAAGTAACTTCCCCATTTGTTTTGTTTGCTCGATTATTCTTGAACAAGTATTTGCAAATCAGTTGATTCAATTTTTAAGGTGTGATTGCATGTTTTAAAACTGTTGGTACCTACATAAATTTCAAAGCAGTAGTGCCTAAGCAACAGTTAGGATTTAGCAGTAAAAGGGTAAATATTCAGATTCCTTAAAAAAATATCTGGTAACTTTGTCGATTTCTTCTTTTTTAAATTCAGACCCTTTACTTTCTATGGATTGTATCTCCCCCTGTTGTGTAGAACTCAATGTACACTTTTCTTACTATGCAATTTTTATCTCTAGTGATTTAACAGTTATCACTAAAAATGTAATCATAATTATGTTACATAACAAGATATATTTTCTTTGGGGGCTCAATGTATATATGCAGGCTCATTTATCTAGGTGTTAATATACTAAAACAAATGACAAGGTGAAATGTGGGCAAATACAAAGAAACACCTACGAATCCTACTAGAGGTCACTGAATACATTTTCTTTTGTTTTTCACTCATTAGTACAAACAATGAGGCATTATCTTAAAGTATAATCTTTTAAGCCCAAAGCACCAGGAATTACCAGCTATCAGGAAAAGTACTAGGACCTTTCTTAAAGGTCCTGTAGCAAGATTGGTTTTCAAGTAAAAACCTCATTTTTAATTTCAAGAAATATCATACAGATAGTTTTCTTTTATATTATTTTCAGATGCTGAACGTGAAAAAAGTTTTTAACCATTAAGAATCAACATCTTCATTTCAATTAAAATTTTACTCTGTTTTCCAAGGTGTTTTAATGAACACAGATAATTCTCAAAAGAAATGCAAGAATTTAACAGTGTCTGTTTTGCAGCCAGATTACATCCTGACTATACCAAAAGCTTTTATACGTCCATATTTCATACAATATAATAAAACCCACCCAGGATTCCAATGCTTGAAGGCATAGTCCACAATGGTTTATAAGAAATATTTTAATCTAGCCATCAAACAAGTGTAGAATTCTCTGTATGCAGCTTTCTATCTTATCTTATTACGTGTTTCTTGGGGAATAAGATTGCAATATCAATGGCTATTAAAAAAAAATTACAGTTTAGCTTTAAACAATCTAAACTGGTCTTTAGTCACCCCAACCCTAGATCTGTTTTGATTACTTTTATTGCCACTAGATGTCCCCATTCTCCACAAAATTACAACATGAAAAGCTTTAGAAACCGTTAAAATAAAACACAGCTGAATATAAACTATGTAAATTCTACGTCAGTGGTTAAAAAATCTCACTAAATTCACATTTGGAGGCAGTTTTTGTGAAGCATATTATTTGCTTCTGTATAGTTTGGACAGACCCCACAGCAACAGTCACAGCAGTTACCTGCAAACTGAACACCTAAGACGACTGACAGAAGTTCCACCAGGGTTTTTTGTTTTGAAAGTTTCGGTGCACGGTTTAAACACTGCTATGTGGGGAATCTCTGTTAGTCAGTAGCAGGAATTTTATTACTTCAGCATTGGAAAAGTCTGTAGGGTAAAATTTTTGAATGATCCTTTAAAACCTAGGATTTTTTTTATGGGGAGCCTAATCAATTGGCTTATCTATTAAACACTGCTATGAGCACATACAGATAGGCAAATACTTGTCCAACTGTCAAGCTTCCTCTCATCTTCTTCTGTTTTTAGGACTTTGGGTTTCACAATAAAACAGTTATAAGGATTCTCATTGCCAGAAGTGAGATTGACTTGATGAGTATACGACAGCGATACAAAGAGAGATATGGGAAGTCACTCCTTCATGACATTAAAGTAAGTTTTTACACACTCCTGCACATACTGATCACTAGCACTGCACTGACTGTGCCAAACCCTTACCAGAAAAAATACAGAGGGTTAATCTCCATTCAATCACTTAGTATAAAATAAAACCAAAGGCAATATAGAAAACCAACAGCATAAATTTTCAGTGCCTCAGGCTGAGTTCAGCAAGTGAGCAGTTCTCAATGTGATTTTGTCCCTCCCCCAAGGGCAAGAGAAGGACATAAACAGGGCAGGACAGTGCATGCTGAGGAACAGTTTGCGTGAAGAGATTATACTCTAATCTTCTTTCACATTCCTGCAAGGTTAGGCTGACAAAAATTCCATGCAAACCTGAGACAAAAACGTGCTTTCATTCTTGCATTTAGGTAGTACCAGCCTTCAGAAAAACTATTCCTCTTGTTTTCTAGCTCTGTATCTTAGAATAAAAATTTGACACTGCTTTAAGACAATGACTCTTGCTACAGTACTTTACCTTTTTTATGTTGCTACAATCCAACTGTAAGATGTGCAGTAACTGTAAGAAATTGCTCATGATTGTTTGGTATTGAACTCAAGAAGTATTATATAGGTTTGCTCCAACCTTTTGAAGGTAAATTGTTTCTAAGTGCCCAAGCAACCAAAGTCCAAGGTACATGAAATTAAAAAAATATCTTGGCCTAGAATCCCCCTGAAAACACTGCAATATTTTACAAAACCTTACAACATTGGTCTAGTCCTTATCACACAGCAAGAGAAGAAAAACTAAGAAACACAGTCACAGAAATGTTGATTTTTAATTCTCGCCCCCCCCAGCATTTTGCTTCAGGGCATTATGAGAGTGCTTTACTTGCTATCTGTGCTGGTGATGCTGAAGATTAAGGAAGAATAAGATGGACTTTGAAGGCTGCATAAATCCATTTTAAACGGAAATTTAAGCTGTACACAACTGTAAGAGATCTCTATTCTACATAAAAGAACAGAAAAATCATTGCTATATATTTTCTAATATTAAATCTTGTCTTGAGATGGGAAAAAATGCTGGCAAGTTTTATACCTAGTTCTGATTAATATTCCTATGATGAATGTAAATTCAAGTAAAAGCAGGTAGTAAAATAACTCCATGTAAGCATATGTTAAACATTCAGTCTTGCAACATCCCAAACATTAGACGATAGGCTTTGGAAGAACCCACTCACTTCCACACTGGAGAGAAAAAATGTTTTGCTTTATTTACTTTTAGCAGCATGATTTCTTCCTCCATGTACTTTTTTTTGTTTTGTTCTATTTCCTGTTTCTTATATATTTTAAGTTTTAGAACATTATTAGTTCAGTTGTTTATCAAATTAAGCATCTGCACCAGTCTGTTGTCAGTCGCCCACCAAAGAGTGCTTTTGTATTCCTTTCCATTTAGCCCTGGTACTTAATGGCATTTCCCTTTTTCCATTTGAAAAGAAAGAAAAAATCAGAATCAAGTATCCCAAACCATTCTTGATTTAGTGCCATGCACTGGAAACTTCTGGAAGACAAAGCTTTGAGTAGAGACGTTCCAGAGAATTAAACTCTGAAATTCCATTTGTGCCTCTCTCATTTTAATCATGAATTGAATATTGACCTTTGGAGCACCACCATATTTCCAGGAGGCCCAAGATGGGCAGTGCAGGAGTTGAGTAGTAGCAGGTGACACTGCACCTCCAGAGGATGCTGAGTGATGCAGAGCTCCTCAGCATACCAGCGAACGGAGTCCACAACATCCAGTGGAAACAACTCCTGCTGCAGTAAGGAAGGTGGCAGACTCTGGCCTCAAGTTCACATCCACACAGGAAAATATGATACTTGCTTTTAAATATCCAGGGTCTATTCTGTTAAACCTATTGAGGAAGCTTTCCAGCCTGTGTATTTGTTTGCCTGTCAGTCTCTTATGTAAACAGACGTAAGTAATGGAAAACATGCAAATACTCGCTAAGAAAACTGCCCTTTGCTTTCCTCCTGCAGCTACAGAGTTTGCAACCTGGCACAGGCATCTCAGACTTGTTCTTTTTAAATGGGTACTTTCTGCAAGTATCTCAACATGCCTGAATAACACACTACTATAAAAACATAGAAATACGTGACTGCTTTTATGCTGTTCACACCTGTCCCTACTCTCAGTCTATGAAAATGTTTTCTTTGTATCTTGCATTTTTTTGCAAACACTGACATTGTTATAAATCTATTGATTTACAATAAACTTAAAGTTTCAGTTGAGTTCATCTCAAGCCTGACACATGTTGCAATTTCTCAGGTGGATAACGTAATTATTAAGCCAGAAGTTTGGAAGGAAAAGCTCTGTGAGGAAAAGTAAGTCAAGAACAAAGATGAGATTGTGCAGAAAATGCTGTTGCCAGAG